ACTCCCTAGGTCTCCAGGACCACTTTGTGAATGCCCTTATATGTTGAATGTATCTTAAAGGGTCTAATGAACATAATGACTTTAGTAAAGATATATTAATGACAAGTCAAGTATCTAGAGTAGCTTTGAGGATTGCTTAGGTAGGCGTGAAGAGGTGGTATTAGTGTTCTCTTGTTGTATTACTCATGTGAGTCTTAGAGTTATTCTAGGTAGTAAGTTTGATTAATGAAATGGGAATAACCTTATCTTAGGTATTCTAAACGATCCCTTTGGTGTGTGTGAGTAATTGTATAGGCAGTCCCTTCATAACTCACTCAAGAGAGACTTAGAATCACCTTTGGTAGGAGGGTCTCATGATTATATGTTTGGATGTGCTCTTGATGCACTCTTGCTAGATGTGGACATATGTGAAGTTGGTATGATATGTGCTTTGCTATATTATTACATGAAATCTTTACTGTAAAAAAGCACATTTTACTACAGATGTCCGTTTCTCATTATTTTATGCATTGTGCCATACTTAGTACTTGCATTGTACTAATTCCATACATATTGTCTATATCTAAAGGTGTGGCTAACAATTTAGAGGTGTCTTGAAGCAAAGCTTGGAAACTAGGACTCTTTCAAGCAAAGTTGGGGTAGGTCCTCACTTGATTCGAGGACATAACTATCTTTAGATTTCTTTCATCAGAAATATTGTAATATACTAAGTTTCCATATTTCTATTGTATGGTTCGTGTCCCAAGAATTCTTGAGACTAAGATTGGCATATGTTGAGATTTAGTATTTTCAATGGTTTTATATGAAAGATGTTTTAAGATATTATTCGTGTAAAAAGTTTTAATTCTGCACTACTTTTCACACATGTATGAAATGAATTATGTCAAAGGACTTGTACAAGATCTCCGAGAGGTCAAGTACGCCCTGTTACAATCTGGGAATACCTTATCTTCTAGGGTGTTTTCTTGGGGTGTGACAAAGTTGGTGTCAGAGCATAGGTTATGAAGTTGTATTTAGGAGTCGAAATGTCTCAAAAATCCACATATAGTAGAGTCTTGTTCATTAAGATGAGTGGCGACACATCCATCAGAAAGAGGCTCTAGGAAGATAGAGTTTACTTTGTTTTCTAGTCTTGTGTCATGTCGTAGAGTAAAAAGTTTATGAATGTCCTTTCTTAATGATTTTCTTGTGTTTATTGGAGATGGCTTCTAGAAGGATGGCCGCAAGAAGGTTGGGAGAGGAAGAAGTGCATGAGCTACTTCCTCAAGGTGATCAATCCCCTTTTTGTGAGTGAAGGTAATAAGGTTCTGGTGGTTCCTCTGGGCATGACTAATGGGGATATTAGAGAGGCTCTCCATTCCCTAGCCCAAGTCATAACAACTCATGTGAATAGAGGTGTTGAGCCTGAGGTGAGTGTTTTCAATTGTACCATGACCTCTAGATTGGGGGACTTTTTAAGGATGAATCCTCCTATATTTCTTCGCTCTAAGGTGGGAGAGGATCCCCAAGAGTTTACTGGTGGTGTATGATGTACCGTGTTTTCTCAATATTTTTAATAAATTTTACTTAAGAGTTTTGTGTGTCTAGAAACTTTTTGTAGTAGCTTTAACAAGTTTGTGTCTTATTTTGCAGGAAAGGTGTCCAGGTTGAAATGCATAAGACAACTCGAAAATAGTGCAAATCGAGACCTACGAAGGCCATTGATGGTCCGTAGGTGGTGACCTTCCATGAACAGTTCAAGTTGAGGGAAATATCAGTGGAATCTAACCAAGTGTGGAACCACGTGCATAAACAACGGTCCATCGATTGATCAACGGACCGTACTGGTGAACCGTTTATTGGTTCAGAGAAGGTTTCAGTACCTGACTTTTTCAAGATTATAAGTATGAAATGATGGAGAAGCATCGACGGGGCATAAATAGATCGAGGGAATGTACTGTTGGTCCTTCGTTTAATTCAGAGATGTGCTATCCGGTAAAGAAAAGTAATTCAAAGTATAAACTAAGGGAGGTAGTCGACAGACCGTCATTCCATCGACAGTCCATCAGTGAGGTCGTCATTGAATCTGCATTTCTAGATAAAAGTTTCCTTATTTCAATTCCTTTTTAGTTAGGACTCTGTTTTCTATAAATAGGGGATTAAAACCTCATTTTTGGGGTTAGCTACTATAATTATTGTTCTAGTTTGTGTGAATATTGTTTGTTTCGAACTTTGGGCAATTAATAAATTTCCAAATTTGATTTTTTGGATTGTCAAGTAAGTTTATGGTTTCTTTATTCAATATTATAAATTGTGATCTTGCTTGCATGGTAACTAAATCCAAAACTACGGTTGCGGGAACCATGGGTATTTAACAAAGTAATCCTACCAACTAAGCAGTTCTCAAATAGTATTTTTGCATGTATTGAAAGTTCTTTCGTTTAGAAGTCTTTTTAACAGTGGCCAACATTAGAACTTTCCTTGTTGCTACTTTCCAGACCAAGGAGGTAGTCAATAAGAAAAGAATTATCAACATAGATTTAGTGGAATACTATCTAATATGCTAGTATCGATTGGTGTGATATTATAACTAATTCATACATCAATTATGATGTGTAATTGAGGTAAAGGTAAGGGTGAGTAACTTATACAGAAGTAGCTGGACCAAAGTTCACCTCAAGTAGCTGGACCAAAGTACGGGGTTAAATTCTCTAGATGTCGAACTAAGAATTTAGAGATGCATAACTTACCACTTTACATGCAAAACACTAGGAATGAATTTTTATTGCTAGGATTGCGGCGTTATGAACCTGTGGAGAACATGTATATCCTAGTTAGTTTCACAACTTGATAGAAACTCAATATTTACTTTTGCTTACTTGTTAACATAGATTGGTTAAGGAACTTGTTTCATAAAAAACCCTTTAATTACTTGCTTTCGAAGAGACTTTGGCTAAATAGAAGTAATAGTGACTTAAAATTAAGTCTAAACCATTTTCCTCATGGTATCGATTTCAACCTACTAGTTGGGCTCTGTACATGATTATGATAGCTTTTACTTCTTTAGGGAGGTGTAACTTGAGCGTATGAAATTTATGTGCTGATGCCATGGATTCTCGCTTTTAGATTAACTTCAATTACATTATTGAAATTTAGTCAATGATTTCCTGATTTTACTTTTTCTTTTGGTTTTTGTTTCTTTAGGTCTAGATCTAGTGTATACCAAGTACACAGGACCGAGGAGAAAAACTCATTCCATTAGATACCTAACTTAACCATACATTAAGAAGGATGGAAAATCAACAGAACCCAACCAATCAAGGTGATGGGGCATTCCATCAACCTCCACTACTGTTTGAAGCGCAAAACCAAGTTTGTGTTGAGAATCAATTGGACAATGTTTTGAGGATGTAGCCTCCAGCTCACAACCTCAGTATTACTATAGGGGCAACGTGAGCATCATTGATTTTGATGGACCTCTTCTCCTAACTCCTCTACCACTTGGGCACACATTTTAGTGACGAGTAGCTTGATGCAGATGCTCACCGCTAGGGCTTTATTATCGGGACAACCATCAGAGGAACCACATCCTTATATATTAAACTGAGGTTTGTGTGCAAGAGTTGTGTGGGTAGACCGGACTTGGATATGAATGTCATCAGATTGTGAGTGTTTCCTCGATCACTGACATTAGATGTTTTCATATGGTTTACCGAGTTTCCTTTCATAATTGGGATCAGTTGAGCGATATGTTCTTGGCAAGATATTATTCAGTGTCAAACAATCTTAACCATAATGATAAGGTGAATAATTTTGTGGCACTACCGGGAGAGTCGATGGTAGTTCTAGGGACAGATTTACTAACTTCTTGAGAGGAATGCCGAACCACCACTTTGATGATAAATCACTAAAAAAAATATTTCTACATAGGTCAAGACGATAATAATAAGGCACTAAGATACTATTGCAGGTGGATCTTATGAGAAATTTACTTATGCTAAGATTGCAGAGAAGTTGGAGAAGATATCTCACAATAACAAGGCTTGGAACACTAGAAAGTCAAACACTAGGAGAAATAGCTTTGCGGTACTAGCTACAAACAACCCATCAGCAAATAATATATGTGAAGAGTTGGCGCAGTTGAGAACTGAAATTGGTTAGGTTTGAAACATATGAGTATAGGTGCAGAGAAGGTGAATGCGGCCAAATATTTGACTAAACCACCACCACCGGTAGATAAGTACTATTATGAAGAGGATAATTATGCAGTGAATGATAAGATGGGGGTATTCAACCAAACGTCCAAGGATCCAATCAAGAGAATTGGCACAAAGGTTGTAACTTTGGTAACTACAACCAAGAGGTTAAATATATTCGAGATGTGAACTACAATTGCAACAACTTCGACCGAAGTAACTATAGTAACAGAATTATAGGATTGGGGCCTATTTTGCACCGCAAAACCGAGAGGTTGCTCCTAGGGACGGTGGAGGTACTATGATGAAATTTGAGGATATGTTGCAAAAGATGATAAGGAGGTTTGATATTAGGGATGAGAATGTCCATGAGATGAGAGGTGACCTAGATAACATTGTACAAAAGGTGGATGGACATGAGGTTGCGATTAAGCACCTTGAGTTATAGATTTCTCAGTTATCTATTTACTGTGAACCCATACCACTCTAAGACTCTTCCTAGAAACACTATCAAGAATCCTAAAAATGATGGGCATTGCATGGCAGTCACTACTAGAGGAGGCAAGCAGATCGTTGATCCAACTATGTCGTCTATTATAGAAAGTGATATGATAAATGAAAAAGAGGTAGTAGAAGATATTGGAGAGTTTGTGGATAACACAGTAAAAGAAGTAAAAATATCTCAAAAGGTGGTCCAATTTCCTACCTCTACAACTATTCCCTTAGAGATTAGTGAAAAAAACTAAAGATGGTAAATACCGGTGATTTATCACTATGTTGAAACAACTTTCAATCAATGTCCCTTTGATACAAGCTTTAGAACAAATGCCCAGCTATGCAAAGTTTATGAAGGATATGGTGACAAAGAAGAGATCGGTGAGTTTGGAGGATGATGAAAGAATGCAACATTGTAGTGCTATTTCTAAAAAGTCTCTTGTGCATAAGAAGGAAGAACCTGGAGCTTTTCATATTTCATATACTATAGGGTTGCTACACTTTGCTAAGTCACTATGTGATCTTGGTGCGAGCATAAATCTTATGCCTCTATCCATTTATAAGAAGTTAGAATTGGGTGACACAAAGCCTTCTACGATGTGGTTACTGATGGTTGATCAAACTGTGAAGAGGGACATTGGTATACTCCATGATGTGTTTGTGAAAGGGGAATAATTCATATTTTACACCGATATTCAGATTATTAACTGTGAGGTTGAATTTGAGGTCCTCATTATTCTAGAGAGGTCATTCCTTGTTAGTGGGCATGCAATGGTTGATATGGAAAAAGGGAAGATGAAGTTTAGGTTGAACAATGAAGAAGAAACTTTCAACATATGTAGGTCTGCAAATTGAAAGAGAATAACTGTCGAGGCACTAGCAATAGTGAACATGAATTTTGATAGTGATGGTATTGAAGAGTATGGGTCTTTGATTGCTGCACTTGAGTGAAACAAATATCGGTCAAAACTAAAGAAATTGGAGATTTATATGAAGTATCGCGAATCTCCTCCTGCGAAACCATATATCGAAGAGGCCCCAAAATTAGAGCTTAAAGCTATAAAACCTTATTTGAGGTATGTGTTCTTGGGTAGATATGGCATTTTGCTAGTGATAATTGTAGTAGATTTGAATAAATACAAGTAAAGTGCTTAGTGGCAGTATTGAAGAGGTTCAAAATAGTCATTGGTTGGACTATTATGGACATTATTGTAATCCCTCCCAGTTTTTATTCACAAAAAATTCAACTCATGCCCGATCAGAAACTAAGTATTGAGCACCAAAGAAGGTTCAATCCTTCTATGTAAGAGGTAGTGAAAAAATAGATCATCAAGTGGTTGAATGTTGGAGTCATTTACCCTATTGAGGACAGTAGTCGGGTGTGTCATGTTCATTATGTACCTAAAAGGGTGGAATAATAGTAGTGCCTAATGAGAGGAACCAACTTTTTCCAATGTGGTTAGTGACCGGATAGAGAATTTTCATGGACTAGTGAAAGTTCAATGTGTGGAAAGAAAAAAGACAATTTACCCATGCCCTTTATGGATCAGATGCTAGACAGACTCGCAGGCAAAGGTTGGTATTGTTTTCTGCCAACAATCAGATATCTATCGCTCTAGAAGACTAAGAAAAGACAATCTTCACTTGTACATATGTGACTTTTGCATTCAAAAGAATGTAGTTTGGGTTATGTAATGCACCAGAAAACTTCCAGCGTTGTATGATGTCGATATTATCTGATATGGTGGAGGACACTATTGAGTTGTTCATGGATGATTTTTCAGTAGTAGGAGATTCTTTTGATCGGTGTTTGAGCAATTTAAAAGAGGTGCTCAATATGTGTGAAGATTATAATTTGGTGCTAAATTGGGAGAAGTGTCACATTATGGTGAAAGAAGGCATTGTTTTGGGCCATCGCATCTCATAAAAGTGGATAGAGGTTGATCGAGCTAAAGTGGAAGTAATAGAGAATCTTCCTCCACCCATCTCTGTCAAGGATGTTATAAGTTTCCTTGGGCGTGATGGTTTTTAAAGGAGGCTCATTAAGTTTTTTTCAACAATTTCACATCCTTTGTGTAAATTGCTCGGAAGAAATGTAAATTTTATTTCAATGAATCCTGTTTGAAGGCGTTTGGAGAGTTAAAGTAGAATTTGGTGTCTGCACCTATTATTATTTCACCATATTTAGGTGAGACATTAGAGGTGATGTGTGATGCAAGTGGGGTGGCACTTGGCGTTGTATTGGGAAAGAAAAGGGATTAAATCCTTCACCCCATCTACTATGCCAGTAAAGCGCTAAATGAAGCTCAAAAGACCTACACCGTAATTAAACAAGAACTTCTTGCGGTAGTGTTTTCATTCAAAAAATTTCTCTCTTATTTTCTTGGCACGAGAGTCATAGTTCATACCGACCACTCTGCATTGAGGTACTTGATGGAGAAGATATATGTGAAGCCAAGGTCGATCAGATGGGTGTTATTGCTGCAAGAATTTAATTTTGAGATAAAAGATAGAAAGCGACTGAGAGTCAAGTTTCCGATCATTTGTCGAGGATAGAGGATGAAGCTATGCGTGAATTGGGAGAAAAGGAGGAATTTGATGATGCATTCCTAGAGGAACATGTATTGGCTGCTTCTAAAGATTTAATCCCATGGTTCGCGGATTTTGTGAATTATCTGGCAAGTGATATAGTGCCATCAGACTTGACCTTACACCAGAGGAAAAAATTTCATGCAAGATGTGAAAAAGTTATTTTAGGATGAGCATTACATACACCGAAGTTGTGTGGATTGAATGATCAACCGTTGTGTACCGAAGGTCGAGATGTTGAGTGTGATGGAGGCATGTCACTCCTCGCTAGTGGGTGGACACTGTAGTGGTATATGGACTGCGCATAAGATCTTGCAGTGTGGGTACTATTGGTCAACCATTCACCAAGATTCTCACGATTTTACCAAAGCATGTGATCGGTGCCAACGAGATAGACGAACTTTGAAGAGGCAAAAACTCCTCATGAATACTATTTGATGATTGACATATTTAATGTGTGGGGCATTGACACTATGGGCCCGTTTGTGAATTCTCATGGGATGAAGTATATACTTGTGGCAGTCGATTATGTGTCGAAATGGGCAGAAGCAATAGTGCTTCCTAACAATGAAGGAGAGAGTGTCACTGCGTACTTTAAAAAGAACATTTTCTCCAGTTTGGCACACATAGGGCCATGATTACTAATGGTGGATCTAACTTCCATAATAAATTTTTCAAAGATATTAGAGAAATATGGTGCTTGCCATAATTTGCTACTCCTTACCATCCACAGACGAGCGGGCAAGTTGAGGTGTCCAATCGTGAGATCAAGCAAATTATTACAAAAATGGTGAATGCTTATAGAACGGATTGGTAAAGAAAGCTTGATGATGCTATTTGGGCCTACCACACTGAATAAAGACACTAATAGGTATGTCTTCATACCAACTTGTATAAGGGAAGGATTGTCACTTGTCGGTCAAGCTAGAGCATAAAGAGATGCGGGCACTAAAGAAGTTGAAATTGGATTGGACTGAAGCGGAAGAAAAAATACTAAATGTGTTGAATGATCTTGATGGGTTTCGCCTAAAAGCCCATGAAATTTCAGTCATTTACAAAGAGAAAATGAAGAAGTATCATGACCAAAGGATTGAAAAGCGAGAATTTGCAGTTGGTGATTGGTACTTTTACTCAACTCTAGGCTACGCTTGTTTCAGGTCAAACTCAAGTCCAAGTGGATTGGGCCATTAATCATCACTAAAGTGTTTCCACATGGAAGGGTTGAGTTTGAGAATAAAAAAGGAGCAAAGTTCACGGTCAACGGGCAAAGGATAAAGATTTACCTGGGACATGCGGAGAGTGTTCATGAATTGTTTGCCTACCATCTTGATGAAGTATGAGTAATCAAGGCGCCTACATCGTGCCACGACGTTAAATCAAGCGCTTCTTGGGAGGAAACCTAAGGTGTACCCTCTATCAAACGATAGGATTTGCTTTCCTTGTCGCAATGGTGTAGTTTTAACTCATCCTTTTTTTTCTTTTCTTATTTCATTCTTGCTTGTGTACTAGTGTTGGCTAGAAACTAGTATAGGGTATGTGTCTAAAAAGTGTCCATAAAAACCCAAATATAATGGCCAAATAGGTGTTACATGTGGCAGGGAGCAAAAGCAAAAATTTGCAGAAAAAGGTCTGGTAAAGTGGTTTATGCAACCCATCGACGGGCCGTCGTTCCACCGATAGACCGTCAATAGTGTCCATAGACCCCAGATATGTTTTCTATTTTTTTAAGTCTATAAATAATAGGCGGTCCCAATAGATGTACCATCAATGGGGTTTCGTCGGTCCAAATTGCCAGTAACCCGACCCGACCCAGACGGTAATATGAAAAGACATAACGGTTCAAATTCATTCCCTCTTTCAAATTATTTGAAAATTCCCTTCCATAACCATTTTTCTTCCTTTATTTCCTTCCTAATTTACTAAAACTCAACCTCTCCAAATCCCGTTTCACTCCAAAATCAGAACCCTTCCTTTCGCAACCACTCTCTTCCCTAAAATTCTCTCTTTTCTCCCTTGTTCTTCAGCCGCTGACCAAGTTCGGGCGCGTAGGTTCATCCTTGAAAGTTTGCAAGTACACACGATCACTGCACTGCTCAGAAAGGTATTTTAATTTCTCTGAAAACTTTGATTCCTCGTTCATAGTTAAAATTAATATTCTCGAATTGAGTCTTCACCTTGGGACTACATTTGTTCAAATTACATGATAAAAATTGTGTAGTTACGTCCCTCGAATTGATACAATGTGGTTGTGTAGCCTTGTAGTCTATATACAATGTGGGTAGCTCCGTATTGTTGACAATTTTGACTTAGGGTTTCTTACTCTGGCTGAATTGGAATAAAAATGATTTGATACGAAACACTAGGAATGACAAATTCATCTTTAAGTTGTTAAAATTGCATGTCTAAACTTGATTGTGTAAAAAGTTATCTAATAATTAGACCTTGCAACAAGGCCTAAAATTTATCTCAGACCAACAGTACAAGACACTGTCTACGGACCGTCGATCGATCGACTGGCCGTCGATGGGATCCATCAACTGCATCAACCTGCAAATGCCTAAGTCTTAGACAAGGGAAGTGGACTATGGTCCGTCGATGATCGATGGACCGTTATGCACGTCCATTTTTTCCATTAGAGAATATGTCTTTCACTAACTCCTAAAATAAAACTGAAGTGTTAGACAACGGAAGTGGACTACGAATCGACAAAGAGTTCTGCACGTCCGTTGTTTACATTAGAGGAGTATATTTTACCTCCTATGAGTAAATAATTCTAAGTGTTACACGACAGACCCCATCGACAGACCGTCGATAGGGTCCATCAATATGAATCTGCAGAAAAGAACTGTGTTGTTTATTTTTCAAGTTTTCTTTGCTCTATGTATATTGAGTGTGTAGTAACTATGATTTGAGACTAACAATTACTCTACTAGTACCAATGGCGACCAAGAAGGATATTGTCTACCATAAAAAGGGGGCAAATCCAATTCGGTTACCCCATCTCGTCTGATGATCGTAGACTCTGAAAATGAGCAAGACCTAGCCTATGTATCTTCGGGTGACGCAACCTTAAGTGCATCTGCACA